ATATATATATATATATATATATGCATATCTATATCTATATCTATATCTATATCTATATCTATATCTATATATATATTATATATATATATATATATATATATATATATATATACATACGTACATATATACATATATGTATTCATATTTACATTTTGTATACAGAGCTCAAATTCTAATATACATTGCTTTCTTTCTTTTAAATTTTGAGGAAGACTAGATTCACATTTCAGACTTCTTATCAACCTTCTTCACAGACATAATAGACTAATGGCATTTCTTATTTTCAATATGCCATATTCCAATTACAAAGCCTACTATGATGTATATCCAGTACGATGAGATACGTACTTTCAGCTCCTATAAAATCTAGGTCAATATGAAGTACCTGATCCTGTTCACTGAACCTGGAATTAACATATCAAATAACAACTCTGACAATGATTCTTTTAAGTAAAGAAATTACTGATCCTGTAATAGAATAATTGATATCTACTTTCACAGTTACAGCATCAGGGCCCCTGAAGGATGTCATAAAGGTTACAGGACAAACAACTGTGACTTGCATTCTGACCATCATGTTTTTTTCCTTCTTCACTAAACATAATAAATATTGGTAAAATCAATTTATTCAGTGAAGTAAAGTCAATAACTTTAGACCATCGTATATTTTTATTTAATATATTCCATAAATGCTACTTACAGAATAGACATTCTATACAGCCTAATCTCTGGAATACATAATAATCTTGAAATTTACCTTAGGTTATTTTATTCATAAAAGCTCGTCAGAGTAAATACTGAGAGAACAGTATTTCCTAAGTTGATAAAATCATGCAGGTAATTAACATCTAAACTATATTTTCAAGCAATTTGTAACTGACTGATGACTTCAACACCATCAAATCTAAAATTTATATTTTACCTCACGCTGATGTCTCTCACTAACTCCTTGCAATGTTAAAATCAAACACTGCTGTCTCTAGCTGTTCTCTCCCTCTCCCTGTCTTCGCTGCTATGCTGCTTCCATTTTTTTCTTCTTCTTTTACCTATTTCACTACTTTTTAAGTATGTACTTGCATTAGTATTCAAAACCCTTTAATTCATTATTACTTTTTAGTTTTTAACATACTTTACATTTTATTTGTTTTATCATGTCCTTGTAAGTGTCAGGCCTTTATCATTCCCATATAGCTGTGGCTTCCAAAATCATTTCGATAACAATATATTTATTTCATAAGAGCAAACCTATATGCTTAATCCCTGTGATTCAGATGTTGTCACCATAATATCTTGCTTGAGGGGCAGGTGACGTGAACATGCAGCCATTGGAAAATGTGGCTGTCAGCCAGCGTGACATGAACTTGCCATCATTAACATTCTGACCGAAGGCTGGGGTGACAGGGAAGACTAACCACAAGTGCACAAACCTCTTGGAGGGTGATTAGACTCATTAACATTTAGGAAGGGGTTCCTGCATCGTTTCCATAGATAAACAAGTGTAGAATGTAGTGATCATGAGCACTAGCTCCAGGGAGGACACTGTTTCTATGCTCATGATCCCATTCCTGGCCGCCATAACTTGTGACTCAAGTTGACTTAGAGAAAATTGAGTATTACAAAAAAAATATATAAATATTACGCAAATAACAAAATGTTATGCTTATTGTTATTGCACTGAGATGGACTATATAGAGAGATGATATGGAAAATAGTGTAATACTATCTGGAAAATTCCTTTTTTTTTCTTTAGATATATAGACACTGGAAAATGTAAAAAGAGCTAAATACACTTGTGTAGAAAAATGAGAAATAACATTGCAAAGATAAGGCATGGAGTCCTGTCACCGCACAGGAGTGCACATGTGCCCCCAGCCTACAAGTCACACACCCTGAGTGGCTGCTCATGATGGCAGTGAAGCATACAGATCTAATAAGTTTAAAAAATAATATGCTCTCATACAGCCAGACAGTTTTAAACAAAATTGTTCACTTAGCTCTCCATACTTTTCACCCAAATAAGAATCAATTATATCATACAGAAAGATTTTATGATCAATAATAATTTTTAAGTTTCAACTTATTACCAAAGTCAGTTATATAATAATGGAGACAAATTGTCACTGGTTTAAGAATCCAATTATATAAAAAAGGCTGTAAATATTTGAACATTCTTTAAGATCAAATATATAACCATCATTCTCTACACTTTTCCATCTGATAAAGTTGATTATCATATACCCAACAAAAAATAGTTTGGAAACCACTGCTATCCGGACATTCATTCACATAGTTTAAAATTTCATGCAGTCCTTAGTTACAATTAACCCGTGTCCTCTTGACCCAATCACTGTTTCTGTCAAGTACTCAGTGAAAAAAATAAAATCAAAATGTCGAATGGAAAAGTTATTTACTATAATCAATGGAATCATATATATGTTTCATATAGGCCATATACATACACCAAAACATTAATCATTATGTTCTGTTCAGATGTAAAGGCTTGCATAGAAATAGGAAAACAGTGTAAGGGTTAAGACTGACCTTACTTCTGGAGGTGTTAACATTGTAAATTACTCTCTTACTATTCTGGAGAGAGTGTTCATTCTAGTTAATATTTTTTGTAAGCCGTAACTTGAGTCATATAGTTATTAGTAAATTAAATTTCTCTTTGCACTTTCCAGTAACTGCAGAAATTCCCAAACATTCATTCTCTCCACACTTACCCTATTAACATAACCTTTACACTCAACTTTGAATCTATTAATGTAAAATAAATCTCAATGGCAGATAAGATCTACTTATGGACTGATGCCAAAAGATAAGGAAGTAATATAAACTTTTTTTAGAAATTGTAGCACCTCAAAACATTTCTTTGTCTCCCATTCAATGATGTTGTTTAACACTTATCAAGCAACCCTCTAACAAACATAATAAATTATGTTATTTTTTGAACCCCTGCAACCTTTTTAAAGGATCATATTATGAGATATGACTTTTACTTATATTCCTATGGGCTATGACAGCAGTGGTCTTCATTGCAATTCCTTGATCTGGATTCCTTCAAAATTCTGATGTGACCTTCTAGGAAGCACTGAAATGTCCTTATTGTCTTTACTGCAAACAGGGAAGCTTAAGTTATCTTCATACAACTGAAAAACTTGAAATTCATGTTCCCAAGAAATGTGACTCTGTGATACCATTTTTACTTCTTATATAACAACGAATACCAAAATCAACATACTCCATTGAAGAGAAATAAAAAAAAAACAGACAACTTGAAATAAAGCCAATGTCTACTAAGGCATCACTATTCCAGATAAACAAAGTAGATAAAAAGTAATCACAAATTTGTGTATTCATTTAATGTTTATGTGCAAGTGCATGTACAGAACCTGGTGAATGTGTAAGCACATATGTATAACCAAGTGTATAACCATCCATATATTCCTAATTAAGCAAGTGTTTACATGAAAATCATACACTTCTATGTTTGTATAATATAACCATGTGGGGGCCATAATAGACAAATAAAATGTCCATTTCCAACCAAACATAATCATTGATGATTAAAACATCTTTTGTTTCCTATTTAAACATAAAATGTATGCCACAACTTGCAAAATGCTTGGGTTTGATTACACATTTGCCAATGAACCAAAACAATTTATGATTAACTTTATTTTCAAAAGGTCTTTTTATACACAATTATGGTCAGAATGTCACAACGACGAAAGTTTTTCTTTTCTCTTATCACTGTCATCACTGTTGACATAACCATCATTCAACTTGTTAAAAATGCAATAAAGTCGCTGGCTAATAAATGTCACTTCATGCTGTTTATTGTCAAGTATTCATATACATGTGCAGCAAGGCAACAGAGCAAGCAATGGGAACTGGACAGAGCCCAATAAAGCAAAGCCAAGCTATCATTCACATTATCATGCAGCTTATTCATAAAATAACTATATCACTTTCCATTATCACAGATCTGTTTTCATAGTCTATGTAATTATCAGATGCTACTCATCAACTACATACAACTACTTAAAGCTTTTTCTACCTAATTTCTTAAATAGCATGGGAAATTAACTAAATAGTTTATTCCATAAGTCATTTATAAAACCTCTTCACAAGTATTGAAAATAAAATCCCAAATTAGACCAAATAAGAGCTCAGATGTATATCATAACTGACTAATGTCATTTTTAAGTATCTACACTTTTCTAAAAAATTTACATAAAACTGGATATAAACCAGCTTCCATCCATAAGAAAGCATTCTCCAACTTTGTCTGAAAAGGAATTTGTTTTATTGGCCCATTAAAATACTAGCAATGCCCATTATAATTACCCACTATGACGCAATCTGTTTCATCTGGCGGTGACGAATCTAGCCTGTTATTTTCCAAGACTGTGGCAAGGCCGGTCTTTCTCTTTCTCGTATGTTTTGGCCTGGGATTGTTGTTGTTGATGTTGTTGTTGTTATGGGGTGGGATACCTGAGATTATTCCTGGGGTAGTGGAGGAGGAGGAATAGGAAGAAGAGGACGAGGAACACGATGAGGAGGAAGAAGAAGATGTACAATTAGGAGAGGAATACGAGGACGTATGTGAACAAAACGAAGGAGAGGATGAGGACATTGTTAGGGATGTGGAACAGCAACTGTAGCTGAGGAAAGGATGGCCCGACAGGTTGTGCGGTTGATGAATAGGATTTGGAGGTCTTTTGGGGGTGTGGGGGTGGGGAATGCCTGATACGATGCCTGGTGTAATAGTGGCATTTGCACTTGGTGACGGAGGAATGCCAGTTGTTATGCCCCCTGTGACTTGGCTGGGATTTAACTGAGTATTCCCCATTGATGCATTTGAATAAAGCACTTGAAGATGAGACGGAACGTAGGGTCGTTTCATACGTTCCTCTACTTCCATTCTTAGTTCTGGAGTTATTACTATTAAATAACCAGGCATAAGGATGTGGGGTTGCCATTAATATATTGGAGATCATTTGTGGGTACAGATATCCAATCAGTAAAAAAAAATATTTACAACAAATTAAATTCACATCATGACATGAAAAGAAAATTCCAGATAATGGTTAATCATGTGGGAATACAAACAATAATTTCCCATATAAGCGAGATACAAAATGTGCAATTTTCAAGCAAGCAAAGTTAACAAAAAATAAAAGGGGCAAGTCAGCAAATAAATAAATGGCATCACGCAGGCATCATAGGCAGGCAGGAGGGGGAGGATTAGGTAGGTGAAAAAGAACAAACAAAATGAGTAAAACTTGAAAAAAAGACAAAATAATAATGATAATAATAAAAGTGTAAAGTAGCAGATAAAATAAATGTAAATTAACACAATCATGCACTATTGGTACTAAAAGAGTCTACACACCACAGTTCAGCTGCATGCTCAATAATGTGAAGTTAATAACTACAAAATACAATGAAAAATGCATTTCAAAGCAGTACTGAACAACATTAATTAGTCTCAAAATTCAAAACTGAATGAAAAGGAAATACATAACTGAACTGAATCTCTGAAAGTTAATAAAAACTAGCAAGTGATGCTACAAAGAGTCAAACAAAATCTTAATGAAAGAGCAATATATTTGCTGGTCTGCTTCAATAGAAAGAGTAATTGCCTGACCAAGTGACAATTCTGCAAGCTTACTTGTCTCAAGTTCTGGAGATATATCAATATAAGACTACACATTTCAGGCCTTGTTAAAGTGACACTGAGACAAGAATCATCTTTCATACAAAAAGAAAATGTTATGACATTGCTGCAGTATACTGAGTGAAAGCAAGAAGCAGTTATGTTTAATTACAAAAAATGAAATCTAAAATAAAAGACCTTTTTAGAAGTTTTCTTTCTCTTCATCCAGATATATTCTTCTTATTCTTCCCACATATATATGCCCTTTCATTGCATATAAAAACAAGATCTCTAAAACATCAAACATAACAAAAAACATATCTTTTTCTTCTTAGGATGACTCCTAATGACAAGAACTCTGACAAACCACTGAGCATTCCAAGATCTCTTACCAGGGGGTCTTTCAGTCACAGTGAGAAGGCCTGTTCTCCGTGATCTATTGGGCGTCATCTTTCTCTGAGCCTCCTGAACATCTTTTGGTCCCACCAGAGGCAAAGTGGCTCTCTGACTACCACCTCTGCCCGATATGTACCTGTGGGACATGCAATGCCGCTCAGATATAACTATCAATCTATATCTTATAATTAATAAAGAATTTGAAAAATAAAATCTTACATCAGCATTGGATATTAATGTTACATATATCTTTATTAACAGATAATAATAGCTATCATATTGTGTATACAATGAGGTTATTGTCATATTGAGGTGACTGGATGCTTGAGAAAAATTTAAATCCTTTGGCGAAATTGCCTAAAATTAGGAAAATTATCGGAGCATATCCTGTAGTCTCAGAAAAAATCCTTTGTGATGGGAAATACTTTTGAAAATCCTATATGTGGGTAATTGCAGTGCCTGACTCAGAAGTCTACATTTTGCCCATCAGGCCACGGCAATTTCATTCATTGCTTCTTGGGTTTTTTCAGAAAAAAGAAGTGATAGGGGGAAAAAAAAAATAAAAAAAAATTTTGGGGTGAAGTTCTAGGGCTTACAGAACATAAAGAATAACAGGATTATTCCAGTTTTCAGCATTTAATGGCATGTTTTATGTAAGTTTAGTTTAGTTCTGGAGTTTAGAGCAAACAACAGAACCTAAGTTGCCATATTGTTTTGAAAGATAAGACACTTCCTGATTGGTTGTCCTCTAGCATGTGCCTACAAAGCTCTCTGATTGGTTTCCGGCAGCATGTGCCTCGAATAGTGGCAATATTTACAAGTTTGTGAAAGTAAAATCTGTAGTGGTTTCTGGTCCGACCTTTTTTTTTATATATAAAAAATTGAAGCGGCGAATCCGAGAAGCAACAAATAAAATTGGAGTGGCCTTATCTTTCAATGACTTTAGTAACCTGGCTACCTTGGAATGAAAAATGCAGTTTTGTCAATCTTCTCCGAGCTTTTCTTTTCCTTTTTTGGACAAAAATGAAGTACTGCACAACCTTTTATGAAACTACAGAAACTGTGAATGCCAGAGATGGTACAGAAGACTTCAAGACAAGGGATTGATTCTTAAAAATTATCTACTGTCAACAGTTAAGGTCATTAGCAGCAATCTCGAAGCTTTTGTCTATCTTTTTTTAAGGGTTATGTATACCATTTTTCATGTTTTTTATTCTCCAACTTTAGATAGAAAAACAAGCTAGTTTGGATTTTTTTTCTGGTTTTTGATGGAATTATAGCTGTAGGGCTTGTTAATAATAGGATTTACTTTCAACATATGGTAAGAGGTTATGTTTCCACTTTATGTGACAAAGATATTATCTTATGCTTTTCAACTCTTCTTATTCTGAGAGAATGTTCTTCTGGACAGAACAAAACTTACATATATAAGTTATGGAACTCCCACAACATGTATCAGCCAGAGCAAATCAATTTCTTTTTTTTCAGTATACACTCCCCTTAAATTAAATATGCCTCAGCGTGAAGCCAATTTTTTTTCTTTTCCTGTGCTGGAATGGTGAAATGCCTTAAATATAGACTTATGGTGCAAAAATACAATACAATCAAACAACAGGAATCCCTGTAAGGAGATACACTAAGTACATCCCTTAACTTGTCCAGTAACTTACTTAGCAACGTCTAAAGGATCAATCTCATCTTTGTGCACAACAATTTGCTCATCGTCCTGTTGAGGCAGAGGCTGCGAGTGGCCACCCATCCCTCTTACCCCAAGTCCCATCTTGAAAAAGAGAGCATATCAAGTCATATTAATATTATCTATAATAACAGAAATTGAGGAAATTTTCTTCCAATTCCCATGCCAAACAGAAAAAATCCAAAATTGATTATCAAAATACTGAAATTATTGATTTATAAAATCACTTTTTACAATCCAATAATTTCTAAATACCAAGCACCCTTTAAATACATCGTGGTGATCTTTACATTTCTACCTGGCATCACAAGAACATACCAGGTGTTAAAATCTCCCAGAATTGTATAGGTCACTTGGCACCAATAAATAATGATGAGAGCAGAAATGTTATTCATCAGGATTTAATATTAGTTTCATCTCATAAAATTGTAACATATAATTTGGGTATCTCAAATCACCTGTGTAATTTGTTCTTGACTATTAGGATGACTCCAACCTCCTTCAAACTGGCGCTGGAAGTACATTTGTAGATTGGCCCCTCCATCCGATGCACGTCTTCCTAAGCCACTGCCTGTAATGAGAATGTATAGAAATATTTGACATATTTGACATCAAGAAATCATTTGAAAATAAATAAATAAATTAATAAATTAATTAATTAATTGATTAATAAAAAAAAAAACATTTTCTTCAAGGCCTGGAAAAAGAGTAAAATATCTTAAAACTTAAAAGTGGAACCCTTTCCAAGAAGTTTCAATGTCTAGTCTCTATCTTCAGGGAATATTTTCAATATTACTTACAGCTGTTGCATTCAGTGCACTCTTAACTGTATTGATATATAGTTCTCCAATACAAAAACAGCAACTCAATATTCATTTGTTACCTGAAATTAATATTCACTAAAAGGTCTTAACTACTAAAGTGGTACTTTCATGCCCATGCTAAATATATCATGCATTATGTTATGACATATAGTCAAAATTATCAATTTATTCCTTTCTTACACTAAATGCAGTAAATCAAATTATCATCAATTTGGTTTACATAGGCCTAAAATACTAAAGAAAGCCATAGCAAACATGACCTAATGCCTCTTTGAATCTATCAGTATATAAATCCTATCACTTTATGATAAAATGAGCAATTTCCAGTTTCTTAGAAGTCAGACTAACAAAGAAAGAAGCCTATTACTCTTAAAGCTTAAATGATAAATCATATTATTACCGGTGTTCTTATTCTCATGCTACCGTAACTCACCAGTACCCATGCATGGAGGTGGTTTCAACAGATGTTGATCTTTTGTTGAGAAGTTCTGTGGAGGCAAATCCTGCACCAGAGGAAGGTTCTGTGGAAGATTGGTCTGGGGCAAGATGGACACTGGTGGTTGTTGGTGGGTACCCACAACACATCCCCCTGGGCCAAATAACTGGAGCTGACCTCTCACCTGGGGATTTAGGAATGGCAGGTTGGTTACTCATACTGTCAGAAACCCTTAGGTAATAGAGATGATTATCAAAGGAGTTCCTTGAAAATCAAAATCACACTTTACACTGACTGCAAACAACACGAATGCATATATGATATTGAGAGAGTCCCCTAATTCTTCCCATTTGATAACCATCAATTCAGTCCTAAAATCTCAATTGCCATTTGGTTGAGGGTCAGGTGATGTAAACATGCCATCGTGAATGAAGGCCTGGGTGACAGAAAAGAGTGCACAAGCCTCTTGGGAATGTCATTTGACTCATTTGGTACTTATAAGGGGGTTTTAGCATTATTCCCATCAATATACGAACATGGAATGTTATGTGCATAAGCCGAGACTAGAAGAGCGCCAGTTCCATGCTGTGCATCATATTCCTGGCCCCTGTGACCAGTGGTGCAGGTTGTATCACAAAAAATTGAAAATTCCCAAAGAACTAGATATATGACACAAATAACCATATGTTCCAATTTTTTTTTTCTTGCATTCAGCTAAGGGGGCCATTGCAATAAATATTTTCAAAAATACTAATTTTTTTTTTTTTATCTGTAATCTAGTAGGCTTTGGCAATCCCGTGATGTAATATTTTTGCTAAATCTGTAAAAATAAAGGAGTTATAACTAGATCTCTAACTGGGACTCTGGGAGACAAAACTCCACCAGAAAATCAGAGAGAAATGTTGCCACCTCCTACCTCCACGACACCATCTCGCAGACATACGCCCTCATCACACACTAAGGGGGCACAACTAATGGCAAATGTT